ATAAAAACTTAATTTGTTATTTTGCATCTCAAAAAACAAGAGGAATGAATTTAAGTAAAAATATTCTGAAATATAGAAAGTAAATAAGTATTATCCATAACAATATTTAAATACAAAAAGTCCTCATTTAGAGATGTTGCCTTAGGCATTAGATATCATCCAGCCAGTTTTACGGGATCCAGAAACAAAACAATTTGAAATTGAATCATAATTAAAAACCCACATTACAGAGGAAATGAAAATGTTGTATTTGAGAAGTAACGAAGGATTGATCGACCAAGTGTTTGATACCTTATTAGTGTTTGAAATCCTAGAGCAGATAATGGAGATATAGTGCATGCCATTTGTGATTGTAGAGACTAGATAAAGAAGACTCCAAAGAAAGAATGCGAGAAGACTAAAGAGACGATGTGTGCTTTTAGCGTTTCAAGGATATTCTTCTATCAGCTAGAGACAAATCTCAGTCTTCACATGGGATGTGTTTATAAAGGCAACAACGCATTACATGAAGAGTAATATCTTTTATCTTGGGAGCATGAGAGGGCTGAATTTAGATAATATATAAATTTAAATACATTATCAATAATAGTCTATTTTTGTGTAATCATTAATAGTCTGTTACCAAAAAGAAAAACTAATCATTCATATTAAAAAACATGGGATCAATGGGGCATTAGGCAACTGCATAAGTGGTCGATGCCGTTGAAATGCCCTAGTGATGGGAGAGGTGAACGAAGTATAAAACAACAAAGTATCTGCCCTCATTATTCAGTCTTTATGCTAACCCGACCCTTTTACCTTCGCGCCAAATAATAGCCCTACACAACTGCTAAAAACTTAAAGAAAAAATGGACAAAAGTTCCTGCAATTCTTTAAGGTCGACTGAACCCATGACAATAGCCCAACTGATTAACTTTCTCTTTATTGACAACATGAAAAAACCAAAAAAAAGAAGGAAATTTTGTTTGATCTCTGCGCTTTGTGTTGTTACTCTCACAAGACTGAATAATCAATTAAAACAACCCTACTGTTAACAACTTACAGATTTTTTTTTAAAAAAAAAAAAAGAACTGCAATTCTTTAGTATCAACTGAACCCATTACAATAACCCAACTGATTGACTTTCTCTTATTGTTTTTCGGAAAAAAAAGAAGGAAATTTTGTTTGATCTCTGCGCTTTGTGTTGTTCTCTCACAATAAGGAATCAACAATTACAACAAAAAGATAAGGTAAGGTGATTACATATATGGGAAGCTAACACAATAACCCAATTACATAGTATGGGAAACTAACACAACAACCCAACTGATTGATTTTTTCTTTTACCAAAAAAGATCTAAATTTTTGTTTGATCTCTGTGCTTTGTCCTGCTTTGTCAACAATCATACACAAACAAATCACACTAAATAAATGAAATGAACAATGATTGAACAAAAGAGGGAGTGGTCACATTAAAGTGATCACATACAATGGGAAGCTAAGAGGAATGGTATAAGTGTATAGACCTCTTCTTCTTCATCAGTAGGGTTGGTGGTGTTACTGCGTGATGATCTTTGTAGACCTCCAAGAGCTTCCATGGCCAGCTATGAAACCCTAAGGTTGGATTCACAATTCATGACCTATTTTTCTCCGGCGTAGTGCCAGAGGCCAACAAATAGTGGAATGGGGACATCCAGTAAGAGAGCCAACAACTGTCTTTGTCTTGATGCCACGTGTCACCGATAATTGTATATATTCTGTTAGGGCTAATCTCACTTTGCACCCTAAAAGTTACATCGATTCTCAAGTTGTACCCTAAAATATTAAAAATTTTAATTTATACCCTCAATCTATGAATTTGTATCAACGTGGACCTTGACCGAACTGCAATTCAGTTTTTAGTCATAAATTGAAGCACTTGAGTTACAAGTACTTTCGACATGAAGATGAGGTGTGTTCATTGCTGCAGATTTTCATCTACGATCAATTTGGCATCATTTTACGTATCAAAAATAAGGTTTTCTTAATCAAATAAAAGTTAAATCTATTATGTGTAACTCACACAAAGTGTCAACAGTCTGTGTATTTATACCTAAATCCATGATCGAAACCCTTGTAACTCACGTGATTCAATTTATGACAAAAAATTGAACGGTAGTCTGTGTAAGGTCCACATTTTTACTAATTCATAACAATAAGGATATAAATCGAGATTTTTAATGTTTAAAGGTATAAATTAAAAATTAAAGCATCTTTTAGGGTATAAAGTGACATTAGCCGTTTCTCCAATATGTTTTTTTTTTTTGGACAGTATTTTCTCCTAATATGTACGCTAGTCACTTTCATTTGAATTTTGAACCAAAAAAAAAAATTCATCTGAATTCAAATTTTATTTGAAAAATTGATTCACATTCAATTAATTATTTGATAAATTTTTTTGTAGGGTTTATATTCAAATTTATTAAAATCGGATATTTAATTCAATCCCATTAACTTAAATTGTGTTAATTTTAACAAATTGTAACCGAATTTCAAAGTAATTTCATTAAATAATGCTGAAATTAAATGATATATTAAGATAAAATATGAATTGTATTATAGTCGAATTAAATGCTTATAAACTCAATTTTGAATAAGCGAAGTATGATAGAACGGATAGGGGTTCAAATTTGAATAATCAATTAAAAGTGAGAGGTATTTTAATAAGGCTAACAATTCTATACATGACTCATGAGTATAACATAAAGTAAATATGGAATTAGCAAGCTTAGACTTAATGTTGATGAGCTCGAGTAATAAATAGTTCACCATGATTGACCCACTTAACAAATGGGTTTTTACAAAATTTAGCTACCCATGCTGTGAATTTTGTTAAACCCGACTTGACGTATGCATGACATGCAGGAGTGGAGCCAGACATCTTATTAGGAGACAACATAAATGATATGAATATTAAAATTATTAATGTTTACAAAAATATAGTTTCATTAATAGAACGTCAATTAAAGTCGCAACGCATATACATAAGCGCTATATAAAAAGAGCTAACAAAAACAAACTCATTATAAAGTTATCTATAAGACTTAATCACCTAACAAAAAATTTTAAACCAAAAAATTAGGTTCAATCATATATAATTGAATTTTAACAAACAATCGAAACAAATGTAAACTATGATTATTCTATTAAATTAAACTTAACCAATCATAATAAAATTTTTCAAACCACCAAATCAAAATAATTTAATCTAACACATAATAATGGCATTTAGCCTTTTAAAGGAATTTTTTTTATATTTATAGTTAATATATCATAACTACCTATAAATATTGTAAAAAAATTTCAACGGGGATAAATTTCTAATAAATTTTAAACTTTTGAAATTATACTTACTCTCCAAAAATTTTTAAAATTTCAATGGAGGCAACTGTCCCACTATGGATCCGTCACTGACGACATGAATCCAATTGTATATGGACTATTAATGAGTTTGGTACGGATTTATCAAATTTTAAGAAGACACAATTCCACAATGTAAAATTGACACGATATGTCCGATTATTTATAAGATCCACTTATAATACCTGAAAAGTTATTGTCAATACCATGCTTTTTTTTTTTCCATTAATATGAGATATGCATATTATTTTATTTTATTATTTTTACGATAATGAGTATAATTAAATTTAAACAAAATTAACGATTCACAATAAATTTTGGTACGACACAATATTATAGTACAATCCATATAAAGATTCATCCTAGTTTGATACACACATACTTCTAAATTTGTACCCAATAAAGCCTTGTAATTCCTTCTCCATCTAGGCTACAAACCTTCCAATCTTTCCTTCTCCAACTGGAGAAGATCACAAGGCGATTAGCTTTAACTGATCGAATTCAATAAGTAATGTTTGCAAGTGCTGGAGAATGCTTCTTATGAACGAAGAAATCCGAAAACCTGTTGAAATTCCATGGCTAATGCTTCCCCAAAGCCAAATTGGCAAACACACAAGTCTTTATTCATGGGTTGGTTCCTGGAGGGTGGTGTTGTGGATCTTCCAAAGGTTGGTTGGTCATGATCACGACGGGATCAGAATTTAACCCGAACCCTTTTTTACTAAATTCGATTACTGGATCCCAACTTTGTCATCCTTCCATTTTGACCTGCCCATCTTTCCACACATTTGTGGATGATCAATTACCAAAGATCGCACTTTCATTAATAGACTTGAAGTTTCTCCTGTTGATGCTGCAGAATGTGTAGTTGCAATAATATGTATGTGATGATCTCGAGGTATTTATATTGAGTTGACCAGGGGACGAAAGATGGAACATCTTCCATGGTGATGATCAAATCTATGGGGGCATGTCATTTCGTAACAATGTGTTTGCCGTCTTAATTTCCGGTGAAGAGAGTCGGGTTGTAATTTGCACTAATTCAATTGAGACACAAAACTGATGATCCAGGTACGTACAACCATTCCATCAGCATAAGTACATCCTGGACTGATATTAGCTCAAGCATTATGTGTATCTGTCAATTTTAAAACCAAAAGGACAACAGTTCGGATAACTGTTTGATCCAAAACATCCCCCAAATCATTAAAAAAAAAAGTCGTACCACGAACACAAGACTCCAACCTTAGCGGGACATCAAAAGGGTAGTGGTAAAATTTAATCTGTGTAAAGTTAAAATGCCGATATGCATTTAGAGAAGAAGCAATATTGGCCTACAAACCCAGGGAAAAACAAAAGGTACCAGCAAGCAAAAGTATAAGTCAGATATGTACCACCTAAACAAGAAGGTAACAGTTATGTATACTACCAAGTTGATTTTACTACTAGCTCAGCACCTACAGGACTAACTGCTTTTCATATGTCCAAAATAAGTTTTAACTAAAATCAGATGAGGGCAGATACCTGATCATAAGTACATGTTCTGTATAATTGATATGCGCCAACCATCAGAGATCTTGCATTCAGGTAGTTTTGCCAAAGAGGACTATATTAGAACTTGCTTAACGCTCTTGTAAAGCAACAACCAACACTGTGCTCTTCTGAATAACATAATCAGCCAAAGAAAAGTAATCTCGGAGTGGCTTCCTGCCAAGGAATACTGTTTTTACCGGCGTTTTCAGTACCTTTGCAATCATATGCTTTAGATTAAGAATGGTAGTGGAATTTGGTAAACTTGGACCAGAATCTGTAATTTCAGATAAATTCATTTGGTGCAGTCTAGTAGTAGATGGATAGAAAATTTGGTGGAGAGTCGAGTGCTTCTGGATGCCGTAACTGGCCAAATCTCGACCATCCTGTAGTAAGTTTCCAGCAAAGACAAGACTCTGGACCTTAACGGGCATGCCTACTTTATGAAAATTTTGTTCTTCACATCTTGGACAGTGTCTTGTTGGTGCACCTCAAGCATTGTGGTTTCCCCATTCCATTTCTTAACAAATATCTGAATCGTGGAAGGCAGCATTTTTGAGATAGCTTCTTCTTTGATATCATAACAAGCTAAGGTTTTTGAATCCTCAAGTAGGTTTCCTGCATATACTGGACTCTGATCACTGACAGAGAAGCCAACCATGCTTTCCAACTATTGCTTTGACATCATGAAGAGTGTGCAATACCTTAACTTCAAGTTTCAAAATCTTTCCAGCTGGCATTGCTACATAAAACGATAACAAATCTCTTGGATTGAAAAACAAATGAAGGGTGGAATTCCCAGGAATTTTGAGAAAGGCCAACGTCATGCTATCTTCAAGTTGCTTACCAGCATAAATAAGGCTGTACTGATCCAAGTGGGTCCACTCTTTAGCCTGAATCAGGAATTTATGTTCTGAATGGTATCACAAGCCTTTGCTTCAGCCTTAATGGTTTTCTGCTTTGATGGTATATTGACAAAGAGTGGCAATGCAACTGACTTTTGGAGAAAAAGATGGAGAATGGAGTTGTCCTGAATGCCATAATCAACTAGCTTTTGGTCATCCTTGAGCCATTCACTGGTGAAAAATATCTCCTGAAGGTTACTGATTTGCTTTCTTTGTCACAGAGCAATGCTTTGGCATTTCTACCTGTCTCGGATCTCTTCACTTTTAAGGCCACAGTTTTGATGATTTTCAAGATTGGGACCAATAAGACAACCCTGATTTGCTCCACACAACTCTGACAAATTAACAAATAACCCTGAGATATATATGTAATGTTACAATATCGTAAAATTAATTTAGTCACAAAGACTGATTATACTTAGATATGCTGATAAAATTCCAAGGAACAGTTACAGGCAACGTGGACTGTCAACATCCAACAAGAAACTTCCCGACTTGCAAACCATCCATACAATCTTCAGACCGACCATCCTATTCTAAGATTTTCGGTGAAGGTTTAAAGTTGTGCTATTCTAGACAAATAACTACCAGTGTTCCATAACTTCTTGTTATGATATTTAAAAATTAGAACATACTGATGGTTTTTATTTTCCTGAACTTTCCAGCAGCCAAAGTAAATAAAATGAGTGCAAACACTTTCATTTCACTGTAAAATATCTACATATACCTTCGAATAAGAACTATAAAATCCAAACCAAGTCTCCCATCGAAAAAGCCCAGAATCTATTATTCGGCTATCTAAGAAGCAAGTATAAACACATATGATGCACCCATAACTACTACCCAAAGGCACTATTTCTTTTAGCTGCCTAAAAAAACATGGAATGAGAGAAAAATATTCGTAAGTCTTTTTTTTTGGGTAACGAGCCGGAACTTTAAATACAACAAGTTCTATGTGTAACGGATGTTTTGGCCTAGACATAAAGCCGAAGCTACTAAAAAATGGACGCTAGTTCAAATCACATCATGGGTGGGTGCAGCGACAAAGGCTTTTAGACAATCACTAGTGAGAGAGGGTATTACCAAGCTTGGTTTCCGGCTTGATGGGCAACACTTAATGAAATTTGAGGCCTAAGAAGACAACTTTAAATGAGACTTTCTTATATTTAAATGTTTGTGCAAATATTGTTTACTAACTCCCTAAATTTTAAAAATTTCTCACATCAAATCCAATCTTCTCGCTTTTTGAGATAGCTAATCCACTTGGACTTTCTTTTGACATTATCAATCTTAACTAGGTCTTTTTCACCTTTAATTTTGAAAAAACTTCAATATAAAGCAATGCATGCATTTGGATATGAATGAATTTTTTTTTGGTAAGTGATATGAAGAAATTGAAGAGCAATATTTGAATATAAAAAATTAATTTGTTATTTCGCATCTCAAAAAACAAGAGGAATGAATTTTAAGTAATAATATTTTAATATCTAGAAAGTTAATAAGTATTATCCATAGCAATATTTAAATACAAAAAATCCTCGTTTAGAGATGTTGCCTCCTTAGTCCTTGGGCAATAGATATCATCCAGCCAGGCTAATGAGATCCAGAAACAAAACAATTTGAAATTGAATCATAATTAAAAACCCACCTTACAGAGGAAATGAAAATGTAGTCTTTGAGAAGTAACGAAAGATTGATCAACCATTGACAAATCTCAGTCTTCAAATGGAATGTGTTTATAAAGACAACATCACATGAAGAGTAATATTTTTTTATCTTGTGAGCTGAATTTAGATAATACATAAATTCATATACATTATCACTAATAGTCTATTTTTGTGTAATCATTAATACCCAAAAAAAAAAAAAATACTTATCATTCATATTAAAAAAAAAATGGGATCAATGAGGCATTAGTCAACTGCATAAGTGGTGTATGCCATTGAAATGCCCTGGTGATGGGAGAGGTGAATGAAGTACAAAACAACAAAGTATCTGCCCTCAGTAGTATTCAGTCTTTATGTTATCCCCACACTTTACCATCACGCGAAGCAATAGCCCTACACAACTGCAAACAACTTAAAGAACAAAAGTTCCTGCAGTTCTTTAACATCGACTAATAGCCCAACTGATTAACTTTCTCTTTATTGACAACATGAAAAAAACAAAAAGAACTCTGCTCTGTGTTGTTCTCTCACAAGACTGAGTAATCAATTACAACAACACTACTGTTAACAACTTACCGATTTACAAAAATAAATAAATTCTGCAATTCTTTAATATCAACTGAACCCATAACAATAACCCAATTGATTGAATCTCCCTTATTGTTTTTCGAAAAAAAAAAAGAAGGAAATTTTATTTGATCTCTGCACTTTGTGTTGTTCTCTCACAAGAATGAATCAACAATTGCTACATAAAGAAAGGTATTTACACACTATGGGAAGCTAACACAATAACCCAACTGCTTGATTTTCTCTTTACCAAAAAAGATTGAATTTTTTTGTTTGATCTCTGTGTTTTGTCCTGTTTTCTCAATAATCATAGACAAGCAATATCACACTAAATAAATGAAATGAACAATGATTGAACCGGGGGGGGTCATATTTAAGTGATCACATTTAATGGGAAGCTAAGAGGAATAGTACAAGTGTATAGACGTCTTCTTCTTCAGTAGAGTTGGTGGTGTTAGAGTGTGATGATCTTTGTAGACCTCCAAGAGCTTCCATGGTGAGCTGTGAAACCCTAACGTTTTTTTTTTGATTCTATGAAACCTTAACGTTTGATTCACAATTCATGAACTATTTTTCTCCGGAATCATACCAGTAGGGGTGTTCACCCTGGCCTACGCTTTCGTCTTCCAACCCGATTTTTTGTGGAAGAATTTTTTCTTCACCTTCCTTTTTCAATCAAGTGTGGTATTCTTATCCGATTAATCAAAAAGTGGAACTATTTAATAGCCAAAACAGTAACTGTACAAAATAAACCAAAAATTTTGTTTCGGGAACCAAAGCATCAGGTCTAATAAAAGCATAAGCCAGAAACATCTCCCCAAGCCAAAAGCATGATATAGAGAATATCATGCATGAAAATCGCCAACAACCCTCCATAAAAGCATCTCCTACACAAGGCAAAAACCAACAGGAACCCACCATGAAACGCAAGAGAGATGAAGAAGAAATTAGGAAAAGCAACCAGCGAAATCCAAAGGCCATCAAGAAAAGTGCAAAAGAAAGCCCAAGGAAGATAACCCCAAGTCTCCCCATGCATCTGATACATCTGATACAACAGCTCCGACTTGAATGGCCACTGAAACCAGAGAACACCCAGCACAAACAAAATCCATAGAATCTACATCCACATCTCTGTCCCCCACAATGTATTTTATTTCATGATTCCTCAAAACCACCCCTCTTAATTATGTATAAATATGACTTTTCTTTTGTGAAATGCTTAATTGTTAGAATGTGAAAACATGTGACTTTTCTTTTGTGGAATGCTTAATTGTTGGAATGTGAAAACATGTGACGTCTCAAAAAGTATTTTATAAGAATCTCAAAAATTATAAACAAAAATATTTTCCAAATTGTGGGTCTGTAGGAAGTTTTGGTTTGAAGGGCACTGTTCACGTCATTATTCACGTGACTGTTCATGTGCCTTTCCAACTGCTATTTAGCAGCTTTAGGCCCTCAGATCACATAAAATCTGTTACTTAGTAGAAATTTAGTCATAAGATCACAGGCCCTAAGATCACAAACTAATGACTACAAAACAAGCCAATGACTGCATCATATACCATCACATTTTTTGCTCTCAACACAAGAAGACACCTCTAATCATTACAAACCCAAAAAGAGATTTACACATATCCATTGTATCAAAAAACAAAGTTGCACATCATATCAACATGGCTGTTAACTCTCATTACAAACCCAAAAAGAGAGTTACACATATCCATTGTACTAAAAAAATAAAAGTTGATCATCATACAACATGGCTGCTTTTTGATTTACTCTTCCTAAATGGCAATTTTTCCCTTCGATTATGAATGAAAAAGGCTTTAGTTGAATTTACAGTATTTGAAGTTGCTCTAGTGGTTGAAGCTTGAAGTTGTTCAAAGCAAGACCTTCATGCAGGTGATTGGCTTGTTGTTACTACTTGGCTCCCTCCTGGGATTGCTTCGCTTGTTGCTACTGATTGGCTCCCTGCTAGTACTGCTTGGTTTGCTTCTACTAATTGGCTCCCTGCAACTGCTTGACTTTCTCTAGATTGGCTTCCTTCAGCTTGTAGCCCTTCTCCTTCTGTCAATGCAGTAGTGCATGTCCTCCTGTTATGCCCATTCTTACCACATCTCCTACACTTAAGTGATACCAGCCCAGTTTTTCTCAACTTATGTGGCTGATGTTTATTATTCACCTCATCTGGTTCCTTCCTCCGTAATTTTTTTGGCCTACCAGGTTGTCTTCTGTTCAAATGAGGCAATACTGGGGTAAGTCCACTTTTAGGCCACATCTAATTTCCATTAATTGGGTTGATAAGTGGTTCATATGCCTGCATAAATGCCCCTTTCTTCTAGTGTCTAGTAACATAATCTTCTGGCAGTTGACCCCTATTCTGAATAGAAGCAATGACATGTGGGCATGGGATTCTTGTCAAGTCTCATTTCCTACATGAGCATGTCTTCTCTTTCAAATCAACACAATATTGATCTTCATTCATACCCCTCACCTCAAATTTTAACTCACCATGCCAATCAACAATACAACCAAAAATGTCACCTTTCCATTTCTCCAACCTCTTCTGAATTTTAGGGCATATATTTCCACTATAACTCCTAGCACATTCCCTCCTCCTTACCATTCTTTGGATTAAGTAGCATCTAATCCATTCTAGCATTTCCAAGATGGGCTTATCCCTTGCTTCCACAATTGCCCCATTAAAGGTCTCACATAAATTGTTTAACAAAATGTCACACTTTGGTTCTACTCTAAAATGTGACCTACTTAGGTACCTTGGTGGCTCATTGGCCAACCACTCAAAAGCCTTTTCATCTTCTTCTTTAACTAGTTGCATCCCAAAGTCAAATTCTGGAATGTGTGTTGCCCTAGCACATTTCCAGAATTTCTTCCTAATACACAAACCCTTAAACTTTCTCATGAAATTGTTTAGCAGATGCCTAGCACAATGCCTATGTTCTGATCCAGGTAGGCTCTCACTCAGTGCTGGAAGCAAACCCTGTTAAATAAGAGGAAAAAAATCAGTACATAAAAAATAAGTATCTTCTGCTTGTCAGTGATAACGGTCCATTGGTTTTGGTTCTGGCGATTGATGCCCAAGTCAGTGGATAGTATTGATAAGAATCATGCCCATGATTCTTCATCTCAATCTCAACAACACAATATGCAATAAGAAACATAGAATCATTGGCATCAATACCAACTACTGTCAATAACTGTCCACTGTAGGCTCCTTTCAAGTGGCAATCATCTAGTCCAACTACTTTCCTGCACCCTTCCAAAAATCCTCTCTTACATGCTGCAAGACAAATATATAACCTTTGAAATCTAGGTTTACCTGTTTCTTCATCTGCATGAGCATCTAAAACAACTGTCAAACCAGAATTAGCCCTCCTTATTTCCTCAGAATAATCCCATAATCTACCATACTGTTCAATGTCACCCCCATGTATCAATAGCATTGCCCTTTTCTTTGTTCTGTATAATTGATTCTTTGTTACATCAACATGTAAATCTTGCCTAACCCTCTTTTTAAAAGCTTTCATAGGCCAACATGGGTTGATTCTCAGCTCGTCCAGATACTTCAATGCAATCATCTTTGAGTTCACATTTCTATTAGTGTAAGTCTTCCCATATGTGTGCTTGCTAATGTATGTCTTTATTTGATATGTTTTCTCACCATGCACTCTAGAAGCATAAACAAGCCAACTACAGCCCTCTTGACATTGTGCCATTACCCTTCTCTTATCATTTTTGACCAACTTGAAATTTCTCTGATTTTTAATTGCATGCTGTCTAATAGCAGCCTTGAGCTCCTCAGATGTACCAAATAACATACCTAGCTTAAATTCTGGGTTTCCTTATTTTTGTTTTCCCTAAACACTTCAAATTTTGGTTTTTTTTCTTGCATCAGTCTCTCTATCAAATGAACTACAACTGCTTACAATGTCCTTAGAATCACCATCTGAGTCATTTAGGTCTAAGTCATGCCTTATGTCTATTACTGTTGTTTTTTGGCTGTTACTTTTCAAACCAGTCCATTCAGTTTCATTATCAACACAATTTCTCATACAACATGTTATCATACTCACTTTCATAATCACTATCAACCAAATCTTCATATTCACTGCATTCAGATTCTGATGCTACCCCGTCCCCTATGCCATTGTCATCAATTGGGTAATCACCATCAACAGAATGATTGTTTTTGCTTGTAGATGATCCAGTCTGACTCTCCAGTAATTTTATACCTCCTATATGTTTAAAATATACTTGAGTTACCCTGTTTTTATGCAAATGATGTGACATATCCAATACATGTTCATCACTACTCATATGTACTAGCCCTTTGTCCAAATCCAACCTAGGAAGTTTGTAGTAAAATCCAATATATGGAGCATAACCAAGAGTATAAGCTATATCATCCATTTCAATGAGCGATCAGTTCACAATCACAGTCATCTATGTAATTTATTTTGCCCCCAACATAAGCTTTGTTTGGACTCTCTATAAATTGACCATTGTGGTGAACCTCCATTGAGAAAAGTGAAGAATCATGGCCTAATGGTTTCCAAAAATAAGTAAATATAAAATTCATACTATAAAATTCATATTGCATAAACAAGTGGTTTCCAGCAACCACATAAACCATAAAATATTGCAAAAAAAAAAATTTGTTTTGCATAAAAATATCTGTTTGACAGCATCAAGACCATTTTATATTCAGTTGCACCCATGAAACTGAAACCCAAAACTATAAAAAGTCACCACATACCGTAATGGGAAACATCGTATGATCCTGCTTGATTCCCTTTCTCCTCCCTAATGCAACGGACCATCTTTATAATATGATTCCCACTCAAAGAAGATGAGGAAAAAGTTAATCACTTTTGTAGTTTGCCCTGATGAACACTGGACATTGTGCCCTAAGTTGGAGTTCTCACCATTGTTGTCATTAAAATGGAAGTGAAGAGGCAATTCATCACAACCTTTGACTGGCTAAGCAGGAGACGTAGGGTGCAATGTCCACTTTGCCCCTCACGTGAATGGCACATGGAGACGGAGCCGGCAAAAAGCAAACGGCGTCTGTGGTTGGGACCAAAATAAATCAACGTGAATACTTTGGGGACCAATTTAATGCAATTGAAATGTTGGGGACCAAAATAAGATAACGTGAATAGTTTGGGGACCGCCGGTGCAAATAACCCAATAACATCCATCTATTCAACAGTACAATAAATTAAAAACATTAAAATCTAAAACAACTATAACAACAATTACAATAAAACATAAAAAAAAATATGAATATTATTCATCATAATTGTTACACAAATACAATAACAATTATTTTAAATTTAAACTATATAAAACACATTAAAATCATAATTGTTCCAATAGATCACCAATTCACCACATGATCAAAAAACAAGTCCATATTTTCACAATTCAAACATCCACAATAATAATAATGTTATAATATAAATTATACCACACAAATACTCTTATAATTACTAAAAAAAATATAAAAAATTTAAATATATTTTTTTACGAGTAGGATAGGGTAGGAATGCGAAAATTGATGGGTATTCTGCATTCATTCTCGGAAGACAAAAAACTCTTCTGCATTCCTACCCGATTTTTTAGACTAGCCGTTCAGTAAGGTAGGATAGGATCGAGTAGATAAAAAATTACAGCCAAAAAATATTAGAAATGGGATTTTCCTAACACAAGCTTTTGTGGCGTTGGTATACGTGTAATCTTGGAAGATAATAATAACAAAGATGAGTTGTAAAATCAAACGTTTTCGTCAATCCCTTAGAATCAACTCATAAGAAATTTATCCTCATGAATACCCTTAGTATGAATAACTTGACTTTGATCAATCAAACTAAACAGAGAATTAATCGAAATGTGCATAAACTGATCCAAATATTCTTGATCGATAAACAAAAAAATATATATATTGATACACGTGTGACCGATGAGGTGGTATTACAGTATATTGAATATGTCTCATAACTAGTCTGTTTGATTCAATCTGAATTCAATAAATTTTATTTTCAAAGTTAATATTCAAATTTATTAAAATTGGATATTTGATTCAATCTCAAAAACTTCATTAGTGTTAATTTTAATAAGATGGTGGCAGAATTTCAAATTAATTTCATCAAATAATCACTAAATTACATGATATATTAAGCCCATCTTCAATACTAAATTAGCTTAAAATTTTGAGTGTTTTCCTTTTATTTTCTAATAAAAACGTGTTTACCATAGACTAACATGTTCGTAGAGCTATGATTAGACCTGGATTTAAACAAGTCAAAGTCAAGTTTAATGGATATAATAGTCAGGATTTTCAGTTTTGGTTAATACAAATTCTTTGGGTGCAGCGTAGTGTTGGCTTGGATAGTATGAGACTCTCATGATGAAAAAGATCTCTCTGAGTAGCTTTTGCTCTTCTGCCCATTGGTGTCTTTATGTCCCTGTATTTCAGTCTTTATGTCCCATCTGTTCACTCTCTTAATCTTCAGACCTCTAACTTTGAGCTTGTATGGCTAATAATTACACTCTCAATATATTTTTTCAATTATTTCATACAAGCAATACGTTAGAGATTTGAGTGCAGGAACAAGTCTTTCGAAGATGTGGTGGGGTTGTCGACCAGTTGCCTCTCCCAAACCCGCGATATGGAGGATGGCTTGTGCACTAATTATGACAAAGTTTCCCATTGACACCATGCAGTTTCAATATATATTGGGTCTTGGTCAGTTTGAAACTGATTTTTTTAGGTAATAAATTATTGGAAATGGAATCTTAGAGATAAAGTGTATGACAGAGTGAGGCACAGATTAAGTCACTCTCTTAAAATAATTCGCGTCATTTTATAAAAGAACCACCTTTCAATTTTGTCCAGAAACTTATGTAGTAAAAAAGAATATAGTAGATATTTAGATTATATATTTTTATACTGATTTTGTAAATAAATGTATATATATATATATAAAGAGAGAGAGAGAAAAAAAAATATTGGTGTTTATATTCTGTAATCTTATATTTAATCAGATAATAACTATGAAAATTAAATAAATAATAATTGTTGAAAAATTAGCCGTTAGAATATTTGTTATTCAAATTGAATTGAATTTTTAATATAGGAGTTATGACAAAAAATAATTAAATAAGTCAGGGAGACCCGCTATCGGGGTGTGAACTAGATTAGTCGGTGCGCTTCGTAAAATATTAGAAACCCATTATCTCCTCCGCTTGTCTCACTCCTGCGCACGTGAGAGTCTCAAAGTCTTAATTTAACTCAAAAGCTAGATAACACTAGAATATATATACTCTAATACTTTTAAAAATTTAATCGATGTAATATTGAATTCTCACATAAAAAACACTCTTTTGTTTAAAATACTCTAACAATACTCCTTTTTAGGTAAAAAGTTGTTGTTTTTAGAAAAGTTTTGCAAAAAAAATCCGAATTAAAAAAATTCACTAAAATCGTTTGGGGTATTCTTTAAAAATTTGAAAAAAATTAAAAAAATCCATTTGTAGTGACTTTCTACCTTTTTGTCAAAATTAAAAAATAACTACATGTATGTAGATATTATGTATAAGTTCCCAAAATATGAATTTCAATTTTTTCACGCCACTAATAATATTTTATGAACATAATAAACTAAAAATTGATGTGGGACTCGTGACAAAATTCCAAAAAATCAAAAAAAAAAAAAAACTCATAAAATCAACTTCTTGAATTAACTTAAATAAGTCTTTTTCGGTATAAAAAAATGTTGTATAAGCTGTTAAAAAGTCAAAGTCAAATGAACATGATTTATTTTACGCAAAATTCTTAAAAACTATTTATTTAAGCTAGCTCAAACGAGTCTATTGTCTTATTTGGTAAATAGGTTGATTTTGCCTACAAACATGTTTAGCCTTATTGGATGCTTGGCCTTGCTCATCTAAAGTTAACAAGGAGTGACATATTTTGCATCTTTAAACTATGGTCCGGAATCATTTTAGTCCGTTTATTAAAATGTTTATATTGTTCCATCAACCATTTAATTGGTTTCACATTACAATAAAATTATTTGAACAAAAATAATGTCCACATGTCATAAGATTCAAAGACGAACTGATACAAATTTTTCATCTAATTTGTAATGAACATGTATAGTTGGGATAACGTGAAGGGAATAATCACGGTTAGAGATGCGATGTATGCAACGGAATAGTAGTTGATGGGATAATGTGAGCATGGGACATAGGTGAGGGAGTAAAAGCATAATTTGACTCCTTTTGGGTTCTAAGTTGCTTATTATTCATTACAAAGAGAGTTAGATTAGCTAGTGAGGTTGAGCATTGCAAAGCCTCTCATTGGGACAAACATCTTCTCAATGCAAAGGTGGACATCCCCAGAATTCATTCTGAATAGGACCAGTAGCTAGTCCTACTTCTTGAGCAGCTGAGACATTAAACCAGTAATATTTGACTGAATTCCTTGCCAATTTTTTAGGAGAACTTTCTCTCGAGTATATTTTGATGTTACCAGCATTTGAAGCAATTAGATCCATCTTGTAAAACCTTCTTCACCCTTGTTCTAAAAATAGAGCCCCACGACGCTAGCGCCGTGAACTTCAAAAACAACGGGCGTTTTGTCGAATTTCTGCATAAGAATGTGGCTCGTTCAATAGCTAATGTGGTTAGACATTAGGATTAAACCAATCCATTGCAGTGAAGTGATTACCTTACAAGAATATTGCCTTTTGGTGTTGTGGGAACATTAAAATCAGGTGAGCTAATGGAATTCCAACTTATCTAACTAAAATTTAGAATTTCCCAAGCAACATCGTATGGGGCTGTGTCCTATGAAAGAACCATTTGTGAATGTGAATTCTAGCCAAGTACAATGGTCTGAAAATGAGGTCTCGTGGTTGATGGAGGGTGGATTGGCCTAGTGTCGTTCAAGTTTGAGTAGGATTGTTCATTATAGATCATGGATTTGGGAGGTTCCATGGTAACTTGGTAAGGGTAGGATGACTAAGAGAAAGTTGAGGATGTGGAGGTGAATTTGGAGACAGAGTATGGTTGTTTGGGACGTCTTTGAGATAGGTGTCGGTTATTCTTGTGAAGAAGTTAACTAAGATGGTAACATTTTGAGAGGTTCAGGTTGCTGGATGGTTGTTGTGGCGGACCAGGTTGCAGGGGCGTGGAAGCACAAGCACAATGTAATGAGAAGAAACCCACCAGTTGACTTTCAAAAACTTTAATCTGTTAACAGCAGTGTGAGGAAGAAGAGAGAAAGGGGGGTGTGGGGGGAGCGGTGAATGATCTCCTCTAATCAAAGCATTGGTCCAACTACAACATTTAGACAATGAATTAACAATTGCTGTCCAAGCCACTCCAACATAAGTGCAGATTGT